GAAATCTGCAAGCGACAAGACCGTGAGAACGACCACATATACACGGTGCCAAATCCCAGAAGACTGCTTTCTTCATAGTCACCGCCGTGAAAGCCTCAAATCTTACAAATTTAATAAAGTTTAATATTTTAAATATTTTTATATTTTGTAATATTCTTCAAAATAATCAACATACTTGTATACACTTTTGATTATATCCTAGATACATGTGTATATATACTTATATTTTATAAACTTAAATTATAATATTTATTATGTTTATTTATAAAACATTAAGCCGAGTATACATTTGTTGTTGTGACGGTTTAACCAAGTATATGTATTTACATATATATGAAATTATATAGGCATAGAAGTAACATTACGGGTAATTATCCGTAATTAATCGGGACACCATAACCGAACTGGGAATGTGGGCCACGCATTCAACTCTTGCTGATTACAGTAACGGTGATAACTGATGCATGTATTAGGGAGCTAGACCGTTTGGCTTTCCGTCAGAGTGTCAATTTTCTCCGTTCCTTAACACAACATGTCACACAAAGCAACAAAATCTGGAAAGAACTGAGTCAGAGTCTTATGTTACGACGACCGTCAGTCGGCCAGTCTGTCCTGGAATAAAGCACCCATTTGGGGCTTAAACCACATTCTTATTACTGTCAAACAGTTGTGGATTTGTTGATGTGGGGCGCTCTCTCTGACGAAAGGACGGGTCTGTAGTTTACAATTGCTGCTGGCCCTCGCCAACGCAGTCATTTTCGGGTCCGAGCCCCGTGGGACTCTTGATCCTGTTTTACTGTCTCAGATTCGAGACTTCCCTTTTCGTCGCCTCCTACGACTCGCAGGGCTACGGTGGAGGTATTCGACCCCTCCTCATCATGGGATTGGAAATAACTAATTGCATACTTTCCTCGATATGACACGGACCGCATAGAAAACGACGAGTTCAAAAATTCTTCAATTGCCGATTATGTATTCGTTGCTGCGTTGCCTAGCAGCGATAAGGGGATACACATAGAGACACGCAGACTGACAGGAGAGATGTATGACGTACGCCACTGAGATAGCGTCAGGTGCCGTGATATACACGCAGCGTTTCAGTAAGATTGTTTCAGACATTCAAAAGTTGATAGGGGGGATGTACACATACATACAGACAGCACTGAGATCGCATAAGCTTATTTTAACTTTTTCGAAGTAAGGAAATTAAACCAATAAAGATATATATATATATATATATGTCTGGTTCCGATTTTGATTTCTGTCAGCAATAAGAAACCTGCATAAATGCCTTATTTAAATATTTCCAAAGAAGTCGGCACCAAATCAGATTTCTTTGCATAGTTTTAGTTCGGTTGGTAATGACAATGACCATGTTGAAGTTCCTAGAACATATTTTGCTGCAAGAGTCCTTTATGTTCTTCTCAGGAAATGTCTTCTTGCCCATCGAGTCCAGTTCCTAGAGACAAGATACGCGTTGAAGTGTCTCAGAGTTCGCCACTAGAAGCGCTGTCGACCAAGCAGAGCTCCTCTCAGTTATGCAGAGCACTGTATTCATCGCCTGATATTAGGCAAGCCGATGACATCGAGAGGCGATTGAAACTAGCAGCTACATGTATCCAGGAAGCCTTGGCACTACATCACCATAACATTACAGATCCCAGAAACGATAAGAAGTCCTTATCAACTTCAAATTTATATAAAGTACCGAATATCCCTAGCAGCAAAAAGAAGTCTCCTACCGCCGTTTCTCAACGAGATCACCATAGTTCGGTTGCTGGGAAGCCGACAAAACCTAGGCCATTAACTCCGTATTCTGGCAAGAAAACAAAACCCATATTTCCGGACAAAACCTCTACACCACGTGGTCCGAGTACTTCCACAATGGGACGGCTTAACGTAGGGGCTAATCGCCGGCGAACTCCTAACCCATCAGGCCCCTGAAAATTAGTTATTGCAGCTTGCCCCATTAATACGATCGCCATTACGTAAGTCCATTTTAAGATGCGAGTAATTGACAATTGTAAATAACAGAGGAATGAACTAGGGACAGTGGGAGTATACGGAATAATTATCAATATCGAATATATCCATTACTTTGATAGGGAGTAATATAGGTTATTACTGGGAGAAAATTCGTTTAATCTGTGGTCAAAATAATTTTTTGACACTAATATTAACCCTCCACCAAAATTTTTCTTGTAATAGTTTGTTGTCAGCAGAACAGTTGATAGTTACTTACCTGGTAGGCTGTTTCTAATTAAATTGCCTAGGATATCTTGCAACATGACAATAAAAAATATCTTCACGACATTCACGAGGCGATGAGATTTGCGAAGTGTTGCTGTTAGTGTGTACAATACATGTTACTTCCAACACACTTTGGTCGTAACAGAACACATTCCAGAAACATACTAGTCACATTCTTGGCTATATTTAAGTAAGTGAGGTCTTTTATCTGTATAGAATATGTTATTTATTAAATTGTTACTACCCATGAGTTGCAACTTTGTAATCGTTATGACTGCAACCCTGCATTGCATGCATCTTCAACTGATCGTAAATAATCATATTTTCGCTTTTAACCAGTGCTGTAGAAATTATAGCAATATGTAAAACTTCGTATGGGCTCTGCAGTGTTACTGTGGTTCTATACTCTATTTAAGATATTAATGCAAGAATATATAGAATGTTTTTACAATAATTTAATCATGAATATCACATAGCCTGTTTTTATTCAGAAGAAATACAATCTTCTGCATGAATGTGTATATATAAATTGTAAATATTTTGAAAGTAATTGATACAGCGCGGCGAAAGATTCAACTTGAAAATTGGGCCCAAAATTTATCCACAGCAATGCATTTTATATGTCTTTAAGATTAGTTTCAATATTTTGTTCTCAATTGAGTCTTTAGCACGAGGTTACTGTCCGGGAAGTGTCTCCACAACTTTAAACATGTTTTTTTTATTCCTACTAGAGTCACCTGTTTGCATAGTAAGGGAGCGTATTGACAAACATAATTTCATTTAGTTTCAATATATGAAAGAATAACAAAAAATGTAATGGCCCATATTTAGGCCAAAAAGCTGCCCCATTATCCTGATGCCATACTCAGTTACATCACAAACAAACGACGAATTCAAAGTCGAACGTTAAAAAAATATGAGCGAAAATAAATAAATGCAAATTGTAAACATTATGAGTAAATTAATTTACTGGTTGTGAAATTCATCTTGTATAAAGACACTTAACAGTAAAACAGAAGTTTTTCACATTGCATAAAGTAACGATTATAGTATTTGTGTATGATACATATTGAATAAATATTTGGAGATATATATTAACATTCGTTTTGATACTCTGGTTACACGTTATGGCCTCTATGAAATAATCTTATAGCCGATAATATTGTTGCTTATAGTTTATTAAGGATGTAGATCTATGTATATTTTTTCAGAACTAAATAAATTTTGTTAGCAGATTACGTGATACCTTAAATTCACATTAGATTCCCTAGTTTGGAAGTCGCTTTATAGTTATTAAGGTCTGTCTGGTTCGAATTTTCCCCATCAGAAAAGCGATCTTAATTGAGGATTACATTATGTTGAACAGTACTTTCAGACATATATATGGAGAGTGGTTCAGAATGGGCCCTTATCTCTTCTAAGTCTACCTCTGTTGTATAGTTAAATTGTTTGCTGGAATACGGGATCAGATCAAACAACTAGAACAGTAGGAATGATTTTTTCCCCTACTGTTAAGCATGTTGTTACTGCCTGAACTGCTACCATTTATTGTCAAGAACACGAAGAGGTACTTAATAACTAAGATTAATTCTATTGGAAATTAACAACACAACTGTTGACCGGTCTGTTCCATGGCTGTTTGAACATACATGATTTTGTAGGTCAGTGAGACCTGATTCTTCCTTCTGGTCTCTCTCAAGTATTTTAATCATTATAAAGATATTAACAGAACTTTAATTAGGTATATATATAAAAGGTAACGTTGTCCCTATGCTTCACTAATTAAGCACTATTCCATGAAGGTGTGTGGGGCAGTGGATGTATAAATCCACATTTTCTTGACCTCGGACTAGTTGGAGGTGAGTGGTCAGCTCCACACCCCGGCCGATTTACTCCCGGAGGAAGAGGTATAGAATACATACATTTATATTTAAAGGGTAAGGCATGCCTCTTTCTTATATGCTTAAAGAACTGACTCACAATTTGAAGAACTCTGCTGAAGGTCTACTAAAGCGCTTCTGTCCAATGTGGAAAATCACGTGAGTTCATAACAAGTAATAGTTTCGAAACGATTAGTGTATTCGAGGAGTTAGCTGACATGCAGAGAATACGAAAACATCAGACGCTTGTAGTGGTTGAGAAACTTGCATGTTCTTTTTTCAACCTAACCTATTCCTTATATTTTACATCTCGTTTGACATTTAATTACATCTGCATTTGATTAAAAGTAATTTGAATTAACTTAACCTTACTTTCTCCTGCGGATAATATGACAATATACGTAGTCAACATTCCCCGAATAATATAAGTACTGTCAGTTTGTTCTGAGATTTCATTAGCCTGCGTCTCTGTTCTGAAGTGCTTGAATCCCATTTGTTGGGTTTCAAAAAAATTGGTTCTTAAACTTTCCTTTCTGCTTGAACAGAGACAGTTTTTTTTCTGTACTCGTTTCCGCCATTTTGTAGGACATTTCAAATTAATGTAGTGATCATAGGTCCATGACAGTAGTCGGCCCGTTTGAGATATGAACTGTCTTCTCTCGTCCGCACGCTGGGATCGTTGGTTTGAATCCCACTCAAGGCTTGGATGTGTGTGTGCATTTATTCTGAGTTTGTGTTGTCCTCTGTGTAGATAGCGGCCTTGCGACGGGCTGCTCACTCGTACAGAGAGCCCTACCGTCTGTGTAAAGTAAAATTACGAAACTGAAGAAGAGGCCAGGACCCAACAAAGGGCTGTAGAGCCACTGATGAAATGAATGTATGTACGGAACATAGATATATTAAACTACAAATGCGAGAATAATTGCCTCAATGAGTATGAATGAAAAGTCAAAATTCTTATATACATCTCTTTTCCCTTCGTATTCATTTACTGCGAATACAAATATCTTATTTCTTGTTTCGCATTTTGTAGACCTCGGGTTTGAATCTTGGCCTGCAAACCGTCTAGACTTCCGTGGTGCCCCATTTAGCACGACCATGAACTGCTGTGGTCCTGCAAGAAAGACAGACATTATGTTGCAACCAGAAGACATTCTGTTCTATTGAGTTTAAGATAATTACTGATTATGCTATATATCAGCGTATATAAATTTGGATAGTTCTGTAACTTTCTCAGTATTTTCCTTCCTAACGTTTTTCTTTGGGTCAGCAGAAAATGGCGATATTTCAAAGCGTTTACAATTTTACTTCCAACTTCTGAATATTTTTGATCGGAATTTTGATTCTGCCCATGAAACGAGGAAATAACTGGTATTTGGTGATTATTTTCCCCCTTTTCTGATAGGAACGTTTAAGCCATTAGCTAATTCTACTACGAAACGTACATTTATAGCCATTTAAAAAAGAAAATAAAAATATTCATTGTTGCTACTCAGGGGGAAATTCTAACATTTTTCTTTTCAATTCAATTTGCCTCGTTTCTTGCTTGTGTTATTTTCAAATGTGAAAATATAGGTGATGAGTCTTTCCGAAAATTCGGCTGCTTTCGAAGCTCCACACGGAGTTATATCCCAGAAGACAGAACTCTGCAATACATTCAACACTTTGAAACCTCTCAGAGATTATTCTGTAGATATTAGTAGATCTCTGCAACACTTAAAAACCGAGCGGACTGGAGGAGATATAACGCTTTAGATCACAATCCAATGGTGCCCAAATGTTCTAAGATTTACAATTGATTTCTTCATTATATATGGGCGAATGTTGATTTAATGACTCGATCATACCACTGAATCCGGTGGTATCGGTTTAGGGGAATTTCTCCTTCACTCTTGCCATAAAGTAGCTAAACTATCCCTGTAACAGAACGTGGTGGCGTATAGGGTTGTGAGACGTTGAGGCTCCCACATTATCTAGGCAATCGGCTCACAGATGGCTGTAAGGTTGTCAGCCTTACGCGCGGGCCGCCCCTTACCACCAGGAACATTCCTGGTACTCATTTCTGTTAGAGGCTGAGTCCACCCAAGGGCCATAGTGCGGATTGAAGGAATAGGTCAACTGAAAAATCCAAGAAGTTCATCGGGAATCGAACCGGCAATCTTCCGCCTTGTAGCGTAGTGCTTCAACCAAATACGCTACCGCGTACAACCGCTGAAAACGATCTCGAGCAATGAATGTAATCAACAGTTCGTGATACACTTCCTTATCACTAACGAGACTTGGAAAAAGGTGTATGATCTACTTGCAGGATATTAGGGTGATAATAGGATTTCTGGACACCGAGAAATAAAACATAACCGTTACAACTGGAAAATATATATGCAGATATTAAATTATGTTTTATGTTAGTGATGATTTTAATAAATTGATTTAAATTGTTTCTTGGCACATATTTAGAGTCACGGACATGCAAGGCACGCGTTGCATGTAAAAGCAGTAAAATTTAAATGACTCATTCATTGCAAATAACGTTTAAACATTCGGTTCCTCTTTCCAAGAAAACGCACTGAAAGTTATTAATTCAGTCCACTAAGGATGTGTGAGAAGTTATTGAAGACCTAATTAAACCAGTACATAGACTGTTAGCGAGAAATATCAAATTACTGAATCTTACAGCAGGTGCTATGCTTAGTTTTCAATGCAGTTTGTTTTTTTGGTATGCGGTGCGACTGAGGTCACTTGGTACGTCGGCCACTATTTGGCCTATTGTACAAAACCCGGCTGAAAGGTGAGAGTGTGGAGCAGTCGGGGGAATTAGAATTGGTAGGGGAAACCAAAGTATTCGGAGAAAATCTGCCCCAGTGCCACTTGGTCCACCACAAATCCCACACGAAATTACCTGGGCTCGAACGCCGGCCATCACGGTGGGAAGCCGACGACTAATCGTCTGGGCTTTGGCTCGGTCCTTTAGCTATCAAGCATCTTAAGGAATTAAAAACTAACCAAAAATGAATGCTCGTTAATCAATCATGAAATTGAGACGCCTTCGCGTGGTAAATATTAAAAATATTTTTTCTCGTGCATCTATACATGACTTACGTATTTATTAGTTCTGTCCCCTTGTTAATTGATGTTCCCGCTGTTGCTGTATCAATCATTTTTCATCAGAAATCACGTGTGCTGTAATCGTTGTTATGATTTGTTGTTCGTTACGCCTGTCATCGACACGTGACATGTGAACATCGGTCTCCAGTTGCGGTTTGGGCCCTTCCCTTGATACTAGCACGACTCAAAATGTTACTTGTGTCACCCAACATAAATGTATTAGGTAACAAATTGTTTCTGCATTGCCAATCCGTTTTTATAGAAATCGTGAAACCAAATGTAACATTAATTCCTGATTTATGTACATTCTTTTATCATTAATATCTTCTCATTACTGTGGCTGTTAATTTCAATGTTCAATCGCATAGAATTAAAAATATAATTCCTGAGTGGCTAATTTCTGCCGCGTTAGAGACGATCCGAAACTTAGTTAGAATTTCTTGCAGGATCCGCAAGAATTCTGTACGAACTTAATACACGTTCATTCCATATTCTACTGAATGTGTGTCCATAAGTCTGTTATTGTAGTTAGTGGCAAAATTGTCATTGTAATTAATTATTAAACAATTATGCAGTACGGCATGAAGACGTATGAGGGAGTGAGAATATAGCTGCACCATTCTTGACCTCGGTACTACGATGTAGGTGAACTGTCAGCTTCACACCCCTGCCGCTTTACCCCTGGTGGAAGGACACGTTACCCCTTGAATAAGAAACTGGGAAGGCCCCAGAGCCGGTCTGGACGTTATGAAGGAAAGACAAAATTTATTTCTGCCGGGAACCTTACCACGGCTGCCTGACCCCTAGCCCGGCGCTATACTGACTGAGCTATCCCGGTTTCTGGAATAGTAAATAGTGTTATTATTAATATATACTTTTTGCAGATCTACCATGCACACTCGCATATTAGCAGGAAGCACGCGTCACTTTCTTGCGATATCTTGCATATTATCTTCAAGTTATGAAAATGTGTCGTAGAAACTCAACTCATTACTAAATTTTAATGCATTTATTTTCTAAAATGAACGTAATGAATTGAAAAAAAATTAGTGATTAATATTATTGTTATTATTGAATTATTATTATTATTATTATTATTATTATTATTATTATTATTATTATTGTGACCTGAAAGCCGGAATAGCGGAACCTGAGTAGACGTTCATTGCTAGGCAACGACTCGGAAAACATGTTCCCGCTGCAACGAATACGTAAGGAACAATCGAATATTATTAATCTATAACGATGGAAAT